AACAAGTTTCTTCCGCGTGTTATGTTACGTGGATGTTACTTCTCAGTTCACGATGGCATGTTTATGAAAATAGTTAGTCGTGCGAAGTTTGTTAAGCGATTTCTTCGCGATCAAATTGCAATTGTTAGAAGAATTGTATTATCGCATAACATAGATTTCATACGCGCGATGTGTGTTTCTTTTATTGATAATAACATTTAATTTTATAATATTCCGAATCCGGCAAAGTCATCATCAATGTATACCCATACTTCGACAATGCTTAATTATAACGGAGTGCGTGCAAATAACATGCATTGTGCGAGCGCGCATAGCGGATTGGCATACGAAAGTTTAGATCGAGCGATAGACCAGATCGTTGCAGGGTCGTGAGAAAAATTTGTGCACGTGGGCGGATATATTCGAGGTACATTCGTGACTGACGAATACGTTTGCAGAATACGTTTTGTGGAAACTGTTTAATTTTTATTTTCAATGCCCAAGTCTAATATCTAACGCGCATTTATACTTAGTCATATCGCATATTTTAACACAGATCAATGTCGCCGATCGAAGAAATCATAATACGTATTTTTTTACAACATGCGTATTTTTTTATATAATCAATTTTAAATATGAATTTGGTTTGTAAAATGATGTTTTAATATAATCTACTTTTATTTTAAGGAGGTATTCTTTAGATATAAATGTGGATTAGTAAATAATACAGATTAGAACGTTAGAAAATAACATGTTGTGGTATTTGATTATACAACTTTTAAATTGTATTTTATAATAACGTGACGCTTTTGCATGTCAAAAGAATTTTATATAAAAAAATTAAAAAATTTATTGATTTGTCTATTAATCAGATATCGATCTGTTTCTGATAAATAAAGATATGCTCCATTCACTTTCCTGTTCCTTTTCTTTTTTTTCTTTTTTTTTTCATTTTATTTGCATTGAGATGTTGATATGAAACAAACAAGATCTTGAGATTTTCTAATAGATATCTTTGATCGAGTGAAATACCGAGCGATACAATGCCCACTAACGATATCGCTGGTTTTACTGTCTAGCAAATTGTCTAGCATTGATAATGGTGTCAGCAGAAACGGTTTTGGTGTTAATCTACGGGATCTTAAGGACGACGAGTACGAGTACGTGTGCGCCCCAGCGAGAAGAAGAAAGTAACGGAGAGACCGCGAGTGGAGTGGCTAATATCACATTCAGTGCGCCGCGAGAACGATGTATATTAATTCGGGAGAGTCGTGGAGTAATTGATGTTCCTATTTCTTAAGACAGTTACGAAGCATTCGCGCGATCTATGTAAAGCCTAGAAGATGGCGATACGCTTTCGCTCGTTGTATATTATGGACGGAAGAGCACTTAGCATAATCGGTATAGTCATCGATTCGTCCGTTCTGTGGATATCAGCTTGTCAAATTCACAATAAGGAGAGCAGTAAATATCGATGATTTATCGATAAATCGGAGCCAATTTTAAAAGTCTAATTCTAATTCAATAGTAATTTTTGAACAACGGTGAAAATATATAATCACTCAATCGCTTACATTAATTATGTCTCCGTTTATACAAAGTATCGTATAAAATCGATCGTAAAGAATCTATAATATTATAGAGAGATATATCGATTTCGTGGAAATATATTAATGGCCTTCGTGATGCGCAGCTGGCTTTCAAATTTTTGTAAAATTTATCGTAAAATATCGTAGCGATAAATAGAAATGTGTTGCAGCGGCAGCGAACATCGTATTCCGTTCCGAGATTTTATATCCAGTATCGCGGGAAGCCGGTCTCTCGGAAGAAATCACATTCACTCGCTTTCATTAGGTCGGATGGTGGTGTATTTGAGTTCACTCTCGGTATCATCAATGGAAAGACGCGGCGAATGGGAATGCGCTCGCGGCGCCGGCACCGCGTGCGGAACGTGGAACACGATGTTATTACTTCTTCGAGGCATCGATTCATCTCCACGCGAGCAGAGGCACGTGCCTAGACACTCGGTTCATTATCAATGCTACGGCATTTTCTGCTGTGCGCTCAGCTGATCGTCTTGGCTTTGGCACGACTTAGCGGTATGTAATATCGCGACGAAAATAGAATATCGCTCGAAAGTAATAAATAAAGCTCGTGCGATCATTTAATTCGTTTATAATAATGTCTTGATTACAGAGAGTATTTTTATTACTACCAATTAATAATAACGATAAAAAAATTTTCTTGTACTGTACACTGTACAATCGTTTAATTTTCAGCGGTTTTTCTTATAATATTCAAATTCAAAAATATATTTTAGCGAATCAAAATTTAGAGATAAAAATATCGAAAGCTTAGAATGTAATGCGCTTCAGCTTAAATTAGAGAATAAGAAAAAAGTTTTAAGTCACCAAGAAAGGAAAATGAAATAATTTATGAATGATTATGAAATAATTTAGAATTATCGAGTATTATCTTTTGAGTATACACATACAAACATATTTATGTTTTGATATTATGAGCAAAAAATAGTATTGAGTTGTAAACATCTACGGTTCATTATCAATGCTGTACTTCCTAACACGAGCGGATTCCACAGCACTCAGTTGACCGTCTTAAAACTTTCGAAGGGGAAAGTTATTTTCACGAGGCTATTTTCACACTTGCAGATCCGGTCTAAGTGTTTACAGGAGCGTTACATATCTTCGTTATTCCCCTGTAACTTGCGTGCTCGTAATTTAATCAGTTTTATTCCTGGTATTACGCAAAATTTATTCGAATACTATCACTTTTATATATTTACTTGGAATTCACCGTTCTTAATTGTTCTAATAATGATTTGCGAAACGTTTCTTCGTGATCGAGGTACTTGATAATAATAATTAGCATTCAAGCATCGAGAATGAGGTTAAAAACTATAATTAAATCGAGAAGGGTAGGAAAAAAGAGATTACAACTCTTTTTAATAAGTTTAGAAACTTTTGAGTTTAACAAATCGTGTTTAGCGAACCAAATAAAATGACGGTGAAAAAGTTTCAATTATTTCCTCTGAATTTCCGCCGAGCAAGCAAAACGATTGAGAGTCACGATCGCTTGCATTAACGTTATCGTAGATTTCATGCACTTCTGACGGAGAGCATAAATTCAGTTGAGGTAGGTGAAGCCTGCCAGCTTGCCGTCTAATGTTGAAATCCGACGAAGCGTTTTGCGTGACTCGCCTGGCTGACAAGTGTCAACGGCCCGTTACGAATAGCGTGTATAATTTCGCGAAACCACGCGTGATTTTCTTTCATTAAAAAAATTTTATAGCACGAGTCATGTTTTATCCTGTCGTCTAGTCGCGCGTTATCGTCAGTCCATTCGCCGCGATTATAAGTCAATAAGAGTAATTAGGATTCTAATGGGAATTGAGATTACGATAATTGGTGCACTATCTTGCAGCTTTCTAAAGAATTAATTTCAATACCAACCAGTGTTATGAGGCGATATCAATGTGCGTACACCGTCGCTAAAAGCCGTCGTATCTGCGACACGATGGCGCGCGACGTCTTTTTGCATGCGAGAAGGTCAATGCACATGAAGTAATAGCCCACCTTGCACAAAGATTGCATTATGACGTGATCGTTTGGCGCGACGCCAGAGCACTCGTTGCAATTTGTCCTGTAATCGCGAACGCGGCACTTGTACTAATGTTACAGACGCCCTTCATTGATAAACAGGCGTGCGAGTTTACGAGTCTTCACCTTCGCGGATCGCGATACGTGATGGGAGAGAAAAAGAGAATATTTATTATGCGGTCTGGAACGACCCTTGAAATGTGCGATACAATAGCATAAGTAACGCGAACAAGAATTGAAAAGATTATGCTAAGATTATTTTTGAGTAAAAAAGAAAAGACAACACTGAAGAAATTACATGTAAAATGATTGGAGATGATATTAATAATATCTTGTAGATAAGCAATTGAAATTGATAA